GGAAAAATTTCTTTACTGATAGGGTTGTCAAGCATTGGAACAGGCTGCCCAGGGAAGTGGTGGAGTCACCATCCCTGGAGGTGTTTAAAAGACATATAAAGTGGTGCTTAGGGAGATGGTTGAGTGGTGGACTTGGCAGTGTCAGGGTAACGGTTGGACTTGATGATCTTACAGGCCTTTTCCAACTGAAATCATTCTATGATTCTCTAAAGCCTCAAAATGTGATGTAGGGCTTCATCTTCTCAAGGTCACACGTGATCACCTGGTGTTACATTAAATAGTCTTCAGTAAAAAATACTTAGATTTGAAAACAGATACCTAATAAGAAGAAAATTGATCGTCTTTTAATCTGCAGATGAAAGTTTTATTTTTTAGGCAGCTTGTGATGGTTTAACCATGCTGTTTAACCGTTGTGTGGTGATCCGAAATCATTAACTGTTAGTGTGCTCTGGTGGAATCCATAATGAAATTATCTTTCCAGCGTATGCTAACTGCATAAAGCACATCCCGCTGCTGACTTGTGGAAGCAAATTCTTTATTTTTCCTGTGTGTATTAGAATTAGAAGCTCAGGTGTCAGCGTTTGTAGCATGTGAGATATTATAGAGAAAGATTTAACGGAAAATCTGTATTTATCTCTTCTGTTTAATTACCTTCAAAAAAGTATTAGCATGCTCTGTTCAGAATATTTTTATGGCACCATATCTAAAATTAGAATATTCTTTGGTATTTTTATAATTGCATACTTTTGATCTAGAAAAGATTAAAAAATAGGACATTTTAATGCACATTTAATAACAAAACAACCTTCCTGCATCCAAAGAAAATTCAGCCAGGTGAACTATGATCTAATTTTCTTCTATAATGAAAACAAAAATCATAGCTCCTGAAGCATTATTCTTGGCTCCCGCGTCTTCAAGGCATGCAAACATTACCACTTCGACTCCATCCTGCAGTTTAACTGGAAGGATTATGTCACAACATAGTGTGTTTGTTTTCAGCTTTCTGCCTGTTTGTCCGTCAGGACAGTTTAGTAGAAGAAGTATTGGTGATTGTTGACTTTGGAGCTAGTGGAAGAAAAAAATAATTATGAAAAAAAAAAAAGGCAGACAGGGAGCTAGTGGAAAAAAAAAAAAAATTAAGAAAAAAAAAAAAGGCAGACAGTACCATTGAAGGAACTGTGCTTCTGTCATAGGAGAGTGAATACTCCTTTCAACAAATCTATAATTTGCAGAAGTTGCAAAAAGAAAATAGCCATAAGGTGACTGTTAACATACTTCAGTTGATCCTGCCAAGAAAGTTAACTTCGTAAAGTCATTAAACCAGTGATTACATTTTAAAATATTATTCCCCAGCCATTTCTTCTTAGACTTTAAAATATGGTTACTGTATATACTGCCTTCTTTGTAATGTGAAAAATTGTAAAATACACTGTTTTTTCATAAACTCCTAATTATTAGCAGAGCTATTTGCGCTCCTATAGTTAAAGTCATTTCAACACTTCCGTTATTTAAACTTCTCTTTTAGGGGTTCATAATTTGACTGTAGTAAAAAATAGACTCCACGGTCTCAAATATTGTTTGCTGGTGTTAGGAAATTTAGCCTGTTTTTTTCTTGAAAAAGCCAAATAATTTGGATTGTTTGCTGTTCTTCAGGATAATCCCAAACAAAATATTTTGTGATGTGCACTAAATAATTTTAATCATCAAAAAAAAATGGAAAAAGACAGTGAGTGTTTTGGAACTGCTGCTGCCCCAAACTCTGTGACTGGCACTGAATATCGCTGAGACCTGGAGAAGGGAGATGGTGGGAAATTCTTGCATATCTCCACTGTTGCCGTGTAGTAACTGTATATATGAAAAATTATTGCAGCATTTATATCATGCCTATCATCTGGAGGCACGGGCAATAGACCCGCTGCTCACGAAGTAAAACCCCCAGTACTTCCACTGCAGCGAAAGGTGAAAGACCTCCTGACTTCAAGGTTGCATAGCTGAAAATGGCTTTTCTGGGATGATAAATGCTCAGACGCTCGGAGATGGATCGTTCCTTTGATATGGCTTCCTGAAATCCCCCTTCATCACGTAACGTGGCCACGGTGACGACTGAGCAAGGCCTTCAGCTCCGGAAATTAAGGAACCGGGGCTCATTGCATGTTAATGGCAACTCTGGGACAGTCAAATAAGAAAGTTTGTTATAATACTAATTATAGCAAAGCACTCGTGATGTGGTTTGAATGGGTCAATTATAAATTATAAATACATCTTCCCCCTCAACCTAGGCTGTGTGGTGCATAATTTTTTTTTAATTGCTTGGATACATATTTACCTGAGCATATCCTGGTTTCCCAGGTAAATATGTGTACCAATGTAGAAGTCATTATGGTCTGTTTGGATAAATAATCCATATTTTATAACTCCACAGGAAGTAATTATTTTCGTATTTTGCTTCCTTTAAGCCAAAGAAATTAAATGCTGTGTGTTCATTCCTTAAAATAAAATAGATGCAAAAGTCGAGGCAATACGAGAATAAAGTTTTCATTGTTTTGGTAGAAACTGAGAATATTATTCCAGATTTTGATCTCGTGTTTAGCCCAGAATAACTCTATTAAAGTAAACAACGTTACTCAGGATTTACTTGGATGCAAATGGGACATGAATTTTGCTTCCTCTCCCTGCTCTCCCTTACTTTCTCGGGAGGTTCCTGTAAGCAGCTGGACACGATCTTGGCTGTAAATGACATTGTCACATGTTTATGATTTGGAAAAATAAGGTATTTCAGCTAAGCGCAGAAATTAACGTATCTGAATTTTATGGTAAGAAAACTAATGTCTTACAGGATCGTAGAATGGTTTAGGTTGGAAGGGACTTGAAAGATTACGGTTGTGGTTCTGTATGTGTTAGGGGACTGGAGCATGCTCGCATGTCGGATATTTCTGCCATTGTTTTGTATGGTATTTGGAAAAGCTGCGTTGCGTTATCACCGTGCTAAGGTCAGATTTTGTAACACTTCGAAGCTTAGTGGGACCAAAGTCAACCTTGGCATAAATCCATTAACTGCAATAGATTTACACCAGGGATGAATATTGGCTCGTTCTTGGTAAATTTATTTTCATCCAGCTCTTTATATTTTATGTTAGAAATATAAGTAGCTTGCGTGCCCTCACGCTAATCAGAATAAGAAACAGTTTTGCTTATGCGAAAAAATAGAACTATCGTTTTTCACATTCTTACGTTTTTCAAGTAAGATTATGTTACCGTGACTTCTGAATTCCTGAAATCTCCCTGGTCTCTGTGACTGCAAGGGCAAAGAGAGGGTTTCAGGGGGAAAAGCTGAAGCTCTTCATGCGGTATGTTTTGTGTTGTGTGTACCAGATACAGTTAATGTTTTGTGTGCGTGTGATTAGTGTGGAAAAAAATTAATGCAGTTCGGTATTATGATTTATGGACTGAATCTTTTGCCCACTGAACACTTGCCAAAATGAAAATCTCCTCCCCCGCCCCCCCCTCCCTTGCTTTGGATATTAGAAACAGCTACTGTTTTTGTTGATCTTTTTAACTTCTGAATAGGCCTATTTCAAGTCATAGCAGCATGGGAGCTCGGATTAATAATATACTTATTCAGGCAGTGATACTGAGTGAAACCATTGCTAGTGTGAGTATGAAGGATAGGATTTCTTTAAATTATTTTCAGGTACATTGGTGCATTTCTGAAATAAGAATATAGAGATATTGAAAAGAAATTGAATTGCTGTTTATTGATTGTGTTACAGGTGTGTATGAGTTTTGATATCAAGAGGTTTTTAAGGTGTCTCTCCTTTTGATAACTTTTGTACGGTGCTCACCGTCAGTTCATGCATCAGGTGGTTAATGAGGATAACAGCAAACAAACTATGTTAAAATCTTGCCTTTTGGACAATGTTTTTGGATTTGGAGGGTAAGACGCATTCCATGCTGTGAAGCATCCTTTCTGTCCCACCTACTCTACAGCATCGTCTTACACCAGAACCAAAGTCTTGCGAGGTGAAAGGAGCAAATCCCGGAGACTTCTCTTGCGCATTGGGGTTGCACCTCCTTAGTCCCGTAATTTGATAAGCATCAGCTTGCACAAGTTTGGTTTCTGGTCTAAACTAGCCCGATTTCCTGCACCTGCTGAAGGTGAATCCAAGGCTGACGTGCTTAGTCCCTTATAAAGAGATTCCTGCTCTTTACAGCACAATTTAAGGAGCTTGGGGCCTTTCAAGGCACTGTCACGATGGAGGTGAGGACCGTTCTTTGCTTCACACTCCTTTGGCCACCTCTTATCAACTTTTGTGGCATTCGTTGCTCAGTCCCATCTTGATCTCTTTCGTGTCTGAATGGCCTGGTCTGGTCAGTAAGGTTTTCCCAATGACTTTATTGATAGAGTTGGTGTTTCCTATCAATTCATTTTCTTTCTCCCAAATGAAATAAGGGTATGCTTAAAAAAGTTATGCATGTGGGACTGGTTTGTACTAATGATAAGTCAAGCAGGGGTAGAGTTTCCTTCAAAAAACATATAGGTAAGCTGTTTAAAATTAATATTTGTTATTCTAAAAAATTGTGAGAGGGATCAGCCACCCTTCCGCAGTTGCAGATAAAGTGCTATGGCAAGAATCTGGCATTTTTACATTGCCTGAGAGAATTGTATGTTCATTTGCTGGGCTAGTGTGTTGCAAGGAAAAAAAAAAAAAAAAAAAGCATTGTAGCACTTTTTTAAAAGCAAGAAATTTAAATATAGACCAAAAAGCTTTTGCTTGAGCTTTTTCAAAAGCCTTTCAGTCTGTTCGTGAGATTGTTATTCAGTTCTTGGCTAACAAGAGCTGAGTGACACCTTGGAGAGTCCCAGCTTCTGTTTTCATGCATAGCTTGTATTTTGCTGTGCACTACCATGCAAAAAACTATCAGAACTTATTTAAAACAAACCCTAGTCAATAAATTTTTTAACACAGAAACAGCCATCCTAATGTATTCATTTATTTTAGTTGCAGCAAGCAGCTGAAGTTTCTCAGCTGAGAGGAGCTCGAGTCATCTCTGCTGAAGATCTCCTGTTCTTAATGCGCAAAGATAAGGTATGTTAGTAAGACAGAAATTTCTTATTTTACACAGTAAGCTTCTTATTGTGTTTTAAAGTGCATGCTTAGCGTATGTGAAAGGAGTCCATCATCATTAATAGCTTTATTTAAAAGTATGGCTGCTCTGCAATTGTATTGTATTGTGCACAGTACAATAATTGTAATTAATTCTCATTTTTTCCAGTAGCTTCAATTATGAATAGAATTTTTCACTAGCTTTAGGGTTGGTAATGTACCCTAGAGCTCAAAACAATTTCTTAATACACGTATAAATATTGATCCTTATCCTTTATAGCCCTTTTGTTAAAAATTTGATCATTCTAATTTCCTCCTAGTTACGCAGGGTGTAGATGTGACACTTGACAATGTGACAATTACTTTTTTGTCATCTAGGCTGTCAGTAAATCCTGTCTTGATTTTCCTTTATAATATTTTTCCTGTACTTTATCTCACTAAAATCTAAAAATTTAGGGATGGTCTTGCTTTCTCTGAATAAGAAGTAGAGCAGGTCAATAATTTTAAAAAAACAGTTTTCCATGCAAAGATTAAATTAATTTTCTTTCTTAATGTTCAAAAGTATGAAAAAATTATTGTCAACTGTTTTTATCAGCATCATTTATTCTTGCTTTATCTCCTTTTCTTCCTTAGTTCCCCCCTTTCCCTCCCCCTTTTTTCTGCCACTTGTTTTTCTTTTCTCATTTGATAGGTGAAACCTAATGGCCAGAACCATATCAAAATTTAAAAACAGCAAAACATGAAAACCAATTGCAGTTTCTTTATATGATGTGATCCATAAGGCTATACTGAAAACAGTGGAATATGGATGTCAAAGTTCAAGGAAATATGCATTTGTAGGTTTGAATTTCCAAACTAACAAATATTTTGGAGTGCCCTAAAGAAGCCTGATTTCTGAATTTCTACTTTCCAAAAGTCAAACCCATTTCTGTCTCCCAGCTGGCAAGCAAAGTGCCAAGGATCTCAAATAAATAATATTTAACGTGGAATTGCTGCTGACCTTGATGTACTTTCTATGTATGGATTTTCTGCAGAATCAAAAGTTAGGAACGTTTAAAAAATTAGATTTATTGAGTGATGTATTACACATTTGTATGTTTGTGTGTTACAAAGTTAGTCTAAATGAAAAATAATTTAGTTAATATCAATGTATTTTTTTCTCTTAGAAAAAGCTTAGAAGGCTACTTAAATACATGTTTTTTCGAGACTACAAATCTAAAATTGTCAAAGGAATAGAAGAAGATGACCTCCTTGAAGGTAGACAAAAAATTACTTAATTGGGGGGGAGGGGGGCTTGGTATCTTATAAATGCACTGAAGAGCTCAGTCAAAGTATTAATGTCTTGCCTAATAGCTACAGACACAAAAATATTGACATCATAGTAAGTTCATTTAAAATCTCTGTTTTTACATTTGAAATACTTCTAAAGCGTGTATTTGCATCTGCCATCCCAAAGAGAAGTAAGACTGCCTGATGTCAGGGCTCTGTCAAAGCAGGAAGGGCTAACTGGTTTCAGCAGGTGCAATGGAAATGCGGTGGCTACCGCGTGCAATTGGGTGGACATTTGTTATATTATTATCAAAGGGGTTTGACATGTTTTACAAAAAAATCCCATAACCTGAAGTCGTTGCATACTAATGTATGACCTGGGCTTGTTTTCAGTGTGGTTTAACATTTTATACTTTGAATCTGTAACTGAAGGGATGGGAAACACTTTTGTTTCCCCATTCCATGAGCAAGTCACCATTTTATAACCAATGCATTTAAAGGAAAAGCTCTTTGAGTCAAAAATACATTCATTTATGCCATATAATTTGCTGGTACAGAGTTTTGATGATTTATATTAAAAGAAGAATTAGCATTTCCTTTGTAAAAAATTAAAACTTATCATAGCAAATCTAAATCTTGCCATACTTTTATAAAAGTCCAGCAATGTCCCTACACAACTTCTTGTATTTAACTTATTTCCTTTCTCAGAGCCTTTTACAGTTTTTTTCCCTTACAATGAATTCCTTGTGTTTGGTTCCTCTGAGCATCCACGCTGATGTTAGGTAAACATTGTACTTCTTGCTTTGACTTAGTCAATCTGTGGAGAAAGTTTTTGTCAACTCATTTGAGATTTAATTTGCCTGTGGCATTTTATTTTCACCACATGTGAAACTCTACTGTTTCGTGCAAGCAATCTGGCATTACAGCTTCCTACCTGATAGCTCTCAGTTTTTTAATAATGAAGTCTGTGTCACTATTTAAAGCAAATAAACAATTTTCACAAGCTATTTAGATGCTCATGACGTGCTTCCTAAACACAGTTCATCTGGGAATTAAAGACTGCGTTTTCTGGTGTGCTTTGGTAATTGAAGCCATTAATTTTGCTTTGCGAAGCTAATGTCTTTATAGCTGCTATTCTGTTTAGGACAACAGGGCTCAGCTCGCCAGGGTTCTTCAGGTTTCACTGAAGAGCAGTGGTCCATCACCTGTGGAGCTGCGTATTAGTGTTGGTGCGATGGTTTGCTTTAGGCTGTGGGGAACGGGGGGGACGTTCTGCGTGCTTTGAGGAAAGAGAATTTCCCCTCTATATTCAATTGTACAAGTGAGGGTTGTTGTACAACCAGAGGAGAGAGGTTTCTTTTACAGCTCTGACAGCTGTGGATCCTTCAGTGAGAAATAATGATATATGAGCAGTAGAACAGGTTTCTCTAGATTGCTGAAAACCACTGTGTTATACTAGAAAACACTAAAGGTGATTTTTTACTACAGTGCAACTGCAGCACAGCGGTGGCATCACCTTGGTCAGGTAGCACAACTTGTAGGAGGAGGACAGTAAGAACAGGCCTCTTCTGCATAGTGCATCTGATTCTAAAACGTGTCCCTCCTAGGGACATCGGTTGATGTTTGGAGAAGCCAAATGACTTACTTAAGTTTGTTTTTCTTTGCTTACCTTTGTGAAGACAAATTCAACAGTAACAACACCAACAAACGGCAGAAGCTTGCTCAAGACTTTCTCAACTCCATTGACCAGACTGGAGAGCTCTTAGCCATGTTTGAAGATGATGAGATTGATGATGTCAAGCAAGAGAGGATGGAGGTAATTCTTTTCTTTTACTGATACCCAGCTCCAGCAGAGAAAACTGTGAAATATTTCATACATCATGCTAGTCTGACGCCTTTTCCGTGCTGCATATGTCGTTTGTTACATTTTTTTTTTCCTTTTGCCCAGATGGTCTGAAGGAATCCTATTTCCTTATTTTTCGTATTCCCTCAATTATTTCCTGATATCTAAGCATGCATGCTGAGAAGGAAGGTTATGAAAGTGTACTTACGCATCTTTCTGTCTGCCACGTATTTGTGTTTCTTTCCAGTAGAAAACAGATTTTATTCATAAACATTTCACACGCATTTTTCACAATAATTTTTTCTTTTTCATTATTCCTCGCGTAACAAAATTGTTTCAACAGCTTTTGAGGACCCTTTTCATATATCACAGCTTGCAGATAAAACTAAAATACTCTGTGCAAACATGCTTCAGTATATGCTTTTCTCTCCATGCTGCTTTCGAGTCCTATTTTCTGATCTATGTAGATATGAAAAATGAGGTCTATGTTACAGAATGCAGTAACGTATCACTCTCAAAAAGCTGTATTGGCTTGGAAGTCTGGAATGATGGGGAATGATGGTTTTGATACCAGTTGGTTTTGATACCAGTTGGACTTGACACCAGTTTTACGAAGTTTCACTGAGGTTTATCTATGCTGGCACAAGGTACTACGGTTGGACTTGATCTTAGAGGTCATTTCCAACCTTAATGATTCTATGGTTCTGTGATTCTATGATCATAGCAAGTACACCTTATAGGTCTTATCAAGCCTATGTCCTCTCTATCAGCAGAGCATCTTCTTGAATGTCATTTACTCTGAAGTACTTACGAGATCCAAAAGCTGTGTCTGTACTAATTGATAAACGAGGCCAGGGCCAGTTCTCTGGCCCTAAAGGCAGGTGACATGGCCTGACTTGGGTCCCTGTGGTTAAATTTTCTGTAGGTGGACAAGGCTACCCTGTCTTTTTGGTAGCATGTCCATAGCAAATATGGAGAACTGTCCATGACCCCTGTCCGTGCTCAATTCCTCCTCATGTCTTGTCTGCGCAACTGGATGCCAGGGGCAAAATGGTGCCAGCAGCACGCTCGCAATTCCACTGTAGTGTTTGGGCCAGTTTCTGTCCTTTTTAGTCAGCAGTGTAGTACATGTGGCTGTTGAAAACTTGCTATTTTTAGAGTGCTTTTTATACTTTTATACTCTTTCAGTGGTAGAAGCTGGTTACTTTGATTTGGTTTTCTTTTCTATGCTGAGGCAGCTGATGCATTCAGTAATATGGGTGTATTTAATATTTGACTATTGTGACCTCATTTCACTTTCATTATTTCATGGAGAATTCTAAGAAATAACCCAATTTTTATCCTGCCGTAGTTTTAAGTCTCGTTTTTTCTTCTTAATGGAGCCCCTTTTCAACACTGGGATTTTCCCAGTCCTGTTTCCCCTTCCTTCTCCCCATTGCAATTACTAAAAATCTAATCAAGTATCCCTTCTCTCTAAGAATTTGGCTGGGAACAAGTCCCATTTCTCCCCAGGTGAGAATTAGTGTCATAGAACAGTTGTTCCCAACCACTGTTTGCGTTTTGGAAACTGATGGTTTATTTTCTTTTGTTTGCTTTCTTATTTATTTATGCAAAATACACAACAGCACTGTTCTGAATGAGTGGGTTATGTGCTTGACTTTACGTTCTCTTCTGACATTCCAGTATAAATTTTTTTCAGTCTATAAAACTATACAAGTTGCTAGAAGTATGAAGTTCCCTGTCCTAGGCAAGGACAAATCTGACTCTATGTTTGTCTGTCAAGGAATGTGTTCTTGTAATCAAATATTTATCTTTCATATGACTACATGCTTTGTTTTTTCTCACTAGACTGTAATTCATGAACTGGTATGTGTGTGTGTGTATATATATAAAGCAATTCTTCTCTGTATTGCTCTACTTTATTACATTTTGTAAACTCTTGATCAGTTTCCATGTTAAAAAAAAAAAGGTCAAAAATCAAGATCTACTTATTTTAGAACAGGTCCATGAATTATATGCAGGTATGAAGTCAGTACTATGTATCTTCTTTCTTACTAAATTTTAAATTAG